TTGTTGTAGTTGAGCCTTCATTGCTGTTGGCATCACTGGGAAGAATTGACCTCTAGGCCAATTGGCTGTGAGAACCAGCTGCAACTACAGCAGAAGAGCTGCTCTGCAGGAGACACCCATATGGGGTGGGGCTTTGGTGCTCACCGAATCTGCCTATTGATGCCTATTGAGTATGTCGCGTGTGGATGTGTAGAGTTGTAATCTGGTATTGTCTGAAGCTGTCCACTGGATGGGCATTGCCTCTTGGGTCTCCTGGGAGGTACAAAGTCAGCCACTGCCTGGGGCATCCAGCAAGAGCTACAGAGAGATCTGCAGATTCCTCCTATTTGTATTTGGTTTGGAAGTGCCCAGGTGAAGCCCGGCTGTGAAGCAAGGCAGGCTGGTGCTGGTGCTGGGTCTTGGGCCTCTTATTGATAGGTTTGGGGCATGCTGAAGCCAGGTGCTGCTTGTTTGAGAGGTTTTTTAAAACAGTGAAGGCTGAGCTGGGACAGGCCATTCATATGGAAAACACTCTGCAAACAGCTTGGGTGGGCTGCAAATTGGATGGGGAGGGTCTGAGGGAATCACCAGGGTGGAGTGAACAGTGTGGGCCATGCTTCTGGAATCTCAGATATAGCTGTCAGTCAGCTCTGCAATGGGGAGGTCCCAGCACAGGAACAATAACTCCTGTGAGCACCCCAGTCTGGGAGAATGCTGCCCCCAGGTTCCTTCCCCGATGCCAGAGAATCCAGTTCCTCCCCATATGTCCCTGGATCCTCCAATGCAACCCCCAGTGCTGGAGGAAGCAGGACCCTGTAAGTTTATGCACCAACCCTTTAAGAGGAACTCTGTGAGGCTCTATAGCAGGGGTGGGCAAACTTTTTGACTCGAGGGCCACAATGGGTTCTTAAACTGGACCGGAGGGCCGGAACAAAAGCATGGATGGAGTGTTTGTGTGAACTAATATACATTCAAAGTAAACTTCATTACATAAAAGGGTACGGTCTTTTTTTTTTTTTAGTTTTATTCATTTCAAACGGGCTGGCTCCAGCCCCCGGGCCATAGTTTGCCCCCGGCTGCTCTAGTGTGTTATTTAAGGCTGCTGTTTCCTTGCTTATTTTCTGTCTGGCAAATGTATTGATATCAATGAGGTGTGAAAATCCTCTAGTATTACTGTATTATTGTTAATCTCTCTCTTTATGTCCATCGAGATTTGCTTTATAGAGGTTGGGGAACAGGTTTTTCTCTAATTATAAGACTCCAGTGAGTGCTATGAGTTCAGCTTTTTGGGTCCAACTAGTGGGAGACAGGGGTTTTGCCGCTTGTTTCCTGAAGACTGTTAATGGCATACCCAGCCCTTCTGACCCCATCCTTTATAATAATAGCTTAATATGCAAATTGTTCAACCGGGAGTTCAACCGGGAGTTCAACTGCTCACTATGACATCTGCTGACCAGCGGCGGCAGTGGGGGGTGGGGTCACCGCCCGGCTCCCAGGCACTGAGGCAGCCAGGCCCGGGGTCCAGCCGCAGTTGATTGACCCACAGGCGGGATGGTGGAACAGGTGAGGGGGTGGCACCAGGCCATGGTGGGGTGCCAGGCAGGGCTGCAAAGCTGGAGGTGCAAGCTTGGATTGTGAGCCTGGGGGCATGAGCTGGGTCCGATCCCTGCAGGTCACCCCAAGGGACCCCACTGTGCACAAATTTGTGCACCAGGCCTGTAGTCTTGTATAAAACTTCTGCCATCTATAAACTATTCTGCTTCAAGATGAGGTAAAAGTTCATCTTTTATGGCAGGCCTGCTTGAATGTAATTGTTCAGTAGTTTCTATGGATTGGTGTGTGACTTGTTTTTCTGTATTTATTGGTAGGAGGGTGGCAGGACTAAAAGTCTGGAAGACCTTCAAGTTAATGCAAGAGAGTTGAGGAGGAAAGCCTGATATTTACTCAGCCTTCCCCTGTGAGCCGTTGAGAGCCCTTTATTTCCATTGTGGGTAGTGAGATTGGCACCAGGTGTTAGCCCAGTGGGGTCAGACTGGACCTGGGTTCCGCAACCTTGTCCTTGAGTTCTGGCTAGGAAAGTACTATTCACAATCGAGATTCAGACCATAAGAGAACATTTATTGGGAAAATCACAAGAGGTAAAAGAAGTAATTTGTAGAAGAAATGGGCTTAGGAAACAAGTTATAGAGGCAAAGGAGGGGCCCTTGGAGCTTAGAAGTCAGCTATATGATGCAGATATTTCCCTCCAATCTGTTGCTTGATGTTGAGTTTTGTTATGTAATTTTTGTTGTTATCCAACTATTTAAAAATATTTTTCTTTGCCTTCTGTTTTTTTCTTGCATAGCCTTTATATGATGCCATTAAATATTTTTAAACAATAAAATAAGTGTTATAATACCAAATAGGAAAATGTAATACATTAGTCATATTTAATTATATTACTTATTTTTTAAAGGTGGACAAATCTTACATAATATTGGTTTGTCACAATATTGAATATTAGTTAATTAGTTAAATTTCTCAAATTTTAAGAAGGAAATATTTCCTTTGGTGACAGCATGGATGGACTGGAAAGTATTATGCTGAGTGAAATAAGTCAAAGAAAGACAAATACCATGTAATCCTATTTATATGTGGAATCTAATGAATAAAATAAACTGATGAACAAAATAAGCCTAGAGGCATGGAAACATGGAGTAGACTGATAGTTGTCAGAGATGAGGGGGGAGAAGGGGACTGGGTGAAAGAAGGTAAAGAGATTAGCCAAAGAACATGTATGCATAACCCGTAGAGACAGCATTGTGGTGATCGCCAGAGGGCAGTGATGGGGCTGAGGCTGGAAGGAGGTGGGCAAAGGGGGAAAATGGGACATCTGTAATAGTGTTGACAATAAAAATAGAGCTAAAAAATAACAGA